ATAAACTAGTATACATTGAATTATCGGCCTTTTTTGGCCTTTTTTGTTCTCGGATTTGGCCGATTTTAGGCAACCTGAATTATGTACCACTAACTCCTGGAGAAATACATTTCGTGGTACGCATATGTACCAATACGTAGTCAACGTGTTAACCGAGGCCTTCGCTAACCGTGGTTCTACTGTATAAGTGCTCTCACCCATGAACTTGACTGATGTGGTCAAAGTGTAATACAAATGATTTCGTATTAACAAAATGATGATTGGTTAAAAAAAGAATTTTGTTATTATTTCAAATATCTCCATAGAATATTGTTAAGAGAAGAAAATTTTTTGTACCTCTTCACAATTTTTCACTGAATTTGTTGACGGTCTTGTTCATTTTCTTTTCCATCCGGGGCTGCTTTAATGCGTTAGCCTTTTACATTTATTTATATCTCGATATCTTCATGATATTTTGTGTTAACGTGAATAAGGTATTAACATCTTAGTTTGAATAATAAACAGATTCAGCGTAAAATAGCTCAATATGAGCAATAATGTGGAATCGGCTGGTGAGACGATTATCGAGATGGAGATCACGCCTCTCACCAGCAGTCCCGGCGACGTCCTCTCGCCGCCGGACAGGTGAGAATAAGTGTAATATCCCACCCGGAATATGACGCTGAAATAGCATTAGTTAAACGTTGTTTCGACGATATCAACTGTTAATCCACGTTTTTCCAACTTTATTTGCTTGGAGGGGAATGTTCTCTCTGTGAGTCGAGTAATTCTTCTTGATGATATTTCGGCGACTTTATATATCCGTTCAGAAATAAATTTGAGCTGTTAGCTTTTCAGGCCACGTATTGCTTAAACGTGGTTTAGAATAAACAAGAATTTATAATTAAATTATCTGATTCTCAAACGCGTCTGAGGCATTATCAAATTAACAATTAAATCATATTAAAATCAGAAAAATTTAACCTACCACTTACTCAAAAAAGTTTTTATAGTCTTGGAAATTTTCTATGAAATTGGAAATTCAAAACTCTCTTAGATTATTACTAAATCACCGAGTTTGAACTTAAATTATTACATTCCATTTCATTCTTCAGACAAACAGAAGAAAACGTCATGAGCCTTGCAGACGCAATAGAATGCGACGACTTACAACAACTGAAGAAGTTTCAGGACCAGTACCTCACCGACTCCAATAACAGCGAGCAAAAGCCCGCCAAAGAGCACAAAAAAAGCTTTACTGTTCTATTGAAACAAATTTTGCAGGTTGTTGAATATAAGACTCTCTCAGTTAAGAGCAGAAGTGGTAAAACTGCCCTACACTTGACCATAGAAAAGAAATATGACAAATGTTCTCAATCAATTATTGAAAAATTTCCACAGACGCTCTTAGAAACGGACAAGAAAGGTGATACTCCATTACATTATATGATCAAATACGAGCGCACAAAGCTGTGTTCGAGCGTTAAAGATTTTCTTACTGAAGAAATTATACATAAAAAGAACGAAAAATCGATTACAGCAATGCATTCTGCGGCGGTCGAACGACGTCCTGAAATCATGAAAATTTTGCTCGAGAAAGAAGGAGACCCAAGAATATTAACTAGCCATAAATATACTCCCCTCCACTTCGCCGCGCAATACGGCTCAGAGGAATGCGTTAAGCTACTCCTAGCAGCATGCAAAGAAAACGGCCAGGAAGGGGCAGAAAAACGAACAAACAAACGCCCAGGACGCCCAAGAAGGGAGAGAAAAGAGATTGAATGAAAGTATTTTGTGTCTAAAAGTCACCAAATGATCCGATATTTCATGAAATGATCCAAGCCCGTTTTCACCAACTGCTCCGATCCATGCCAATTTTGCTATTAGAATTAAAAAATTCGGCAGTAAAAATATAAAACTTGAAATTCAATCATCTGTTCGATAGACCAAGACTGCGATTATTGTCCTTAATGCTTGCTTTATATGCCAAATAATCAAATTTTCAAAGCTACCTAACATATAGGTTTTTGGGAGAATAATCTCGCAGATAAACCGACATTCTTCTTATTTTTAACTTACTCCTCTGCTATTCAGATTCAAAAGTTATGTCTCCGTTCAGCGAGATAATGCAAGAGAGATCAACACCCGAACATGAAACCAGTTCCAACGCTTGCAATGTTTCAACGCCACTCGACCAAAGTGACGTCGTCGAAGCGAATGACCCACTGAATTCTACTGAAAATTCTGAATTGTTGAACAAAACCAATGACGACAGCCATGATCTTAATGGTACTACTGAGACGAATCATCCTCCTGAGAGGCGTGGATCATCAAGCGTTGAGAAGGAAAACTCATGGCTTGTTCGCTTATCTTGTGGCCTTTACGGCAAAAAGGATGCGAATGAGGAAAAGAATTCAAACAAACTGGAATCAAATGTACAAGAATTTAGCGGCATTAGCTGGTACAAAGACCATCCTCTTCAGAAAGCAGTTGAGGCTCGCCAACAAGATCACGGCCGAGTACTACGCCACAAATTAACCCAGTAAGAATGAAAGATGCGCTTACCATTCGTTGCGTATTAAATAAGTTTGCTCAATTACACTCAAAAGGGGTGAATGTGTAAGGGACGCAGAGCCTACGACTGTGCCCCTCTTTGCAGTAAATTGCAGTGAACTCAATTTATGTAATGGTCTCGAAGTAAGGGTGGCCCAGTGCTTACAATTCAGAGTACCTAGACTGGAGCAGTGAGTGGTGGGTTCGATCTCAACTACCTGCTACAGTTTTGGCCAAATCGGCAAGGTGGCCGGGCAGTCAAGTAAAATAAATTTGAAGTATCAAGTTAAGTGTTCCCGCAACCATTTGTGAATATTCTGCGATGTTAAGAATTGACGACAGGTCAAACAACCTAATCAACGCTAACACCGCTTTTCAAAATCATACCTATCTCCACATCACACACGTCGTATAACATATCACACGTCAATAGCCAGTTATTCGGCTCTTTTATTTTGAATTTATACTTTTTCGAACTCAGAATTTGAGAGAAAATAAATGAAGCTTTGCTAATCGACATTTATAAAATCAAGTTCATAAATACTTTTCTGTCACAGGCGATTCGCCAACTAATTTTTTCATATGTACTAAAGAGACTCTTTTACCTAGCGCTGCTGCTTTCTACAAATTGTACAGTAATGTAAGTTCAGCACCATACACAAACACAGTGTCATTCGTAATGGCTTTTTTTATTGTCTGTACCCAATGAGATTCACGTAATTTCACTCTAAAATGCTATGAATCTGAACTTTAAAGCATTCCTTTCATTGGTTTTCCCAGGTCGTGGCTCCTGAACAAGTTTAACTACGCCCGAAAAATCCTGTATCCCTACCTGTTCCTCGACTTCTTAACTGCCGTCTGCGCCACACTGCTACTATCCTGCACTTGGTTCGTCATTAAAGTATCATGCATTATTTAACTCTGATGAAACTCTAGGATGGGCTGTGACCTGCCTTTTAATTCTAATGCAGTATAATAATATTTACTTCTTGAAATATTCCGCCTCTTTTTGAAGATTTCGCATTTCAAACGCCATCAATAATTATTCATTGATTTTAACTTTCTAATATGGCATGTATGGCATGATCATTACCGACTGAGCACATCTTCTTTGTCTCTCTGTAGACGTAATTTCATGTTTCTGTTAAGTATAATAAGAATTCTCCTTCCAATATACACTACTACTAGTACTACACCTTGAATTATTACACGGTATTTCTTACCTGCACCTCCCTCACGCTATTCCTACCAGCACCACTCTAACGCTGTTCCTAACTGCACCACCCTAATGCTATTCCTACCTGCATCACCCTAATGTTATNCTAGTTGGTGGCAACTGGTGTTGTGGTGTTAACTAGATGGTGGCAACTGGTGTGGAGGGTGTTAACTAGATGGTGGCAACTGGTGTGGTGGGTGTTAACTAGATGGTGGCAACTGGTGTGGTGGGTGTTAACTAGATGTTGGCAACTGGTATGGTGGGAGACAACTGGTGTGGTGATTGGTAACTAGTGTGACGGGTATTAACTAGATGATGGCAACTGGTGTGGTGGGTTTAAATCACAGTGTAGATGTCGACTATAGTGGAGAATGGCAACTAGTGTGGTGTGTGTCAACTAGTGTGGTGTGTGTCAACTAGTGTGGTGGGTGTCAACTAGTGTGGATGATGGCAACTAGTGTGGTGGGTGTCAGCTAGAGTGGAGGATGGCAACTAGTGTGGTGTGTGTCAACTAGTGTGGTGGGTATCAACTAGTGTGGATGATGGCAACTAGTGTGGTGGGTGTCAGCTAGAGTGGAGGATGGCAACTAGTGTGGTGGGTGTCAGCTAGAGTGATGGGTCCCAACTAGCGTAATTCGTGCCAACTAGTAGGTGGTTGTCAACTAGTGTGGTGGGTGACAACTAGAGTGGCGGCGGCGATCCATCGTGGCCTGGGACTGCTACGTCCCAAACAAATACAAAGGAAACTAAGGTAGTTGTCAAATGAATATCGAAATAAATTTGGTGGTGCCCTTGGTTGGCGCCATGAGTTGTGCCCCTAAACAATACCGTGAGTAATTTGTAAGATATTCAGATTGTTGGTCGCGAACTGAAGCGAAGGCACATAGCTTTAGGATCAGTTCCGAACGCGCATTTGGTTGGCCTTTAATCTTTTATTGCAATCCTTGGAGTGTGCATATATAATATAACGGCCTGGTGACCTCCACGAATGATTGAAAGTTAACTTTAGTTAATGTGTATTGTTTGCAGTGAATTTTAGTTGCAGGGAAGTTTTGCAATGAACTTCAGTTGCTAGGTGCTGACCTAATGTGCTGAAAATATCTATTCTAGTGGTGTGAAAATCTTAAACTGTTACGTTTTTTTCATCATTCGAAAACAAGATTCATGTCTAAAGGCATTCTATTATAACCACACTTCTTAATTCAAACAAAATTAAATACTAAGCTAATTAACCTCAAGTATCGAGGTGATAAATTGGTAATCACCTGCACTCATCACCATCATAATCGACACATTTAACAGCAATGTTGTAAACATCATTAGTAATTGATTTGCGGTTATGGAATCTTCTATTTTTTATGTTTTTTTTATAAAAAGATTTCGACGTTTATATAATCACTGAGCTGGAAACCATTCATAAAACTATACACCAGAGAGAGAATCACTGAGCTGGAAACCATACATTAAACTATACACCAGAGAGAGAATCACTGAGCTGGAAACCATACATTAAAACAAACCCTGACCCAAAACTACATCTTTTTACTGTGTACTGTCGGAATACTATATACCATAAATTTTACAGGAATATAATGGTATGTTTTACGTGCCAAGAAAGGGCCCAGTGGTATTAATTTATATAATTATTTTTGATGCAGACGACGAAGACGATGGCAGACGTTCACGGGGCCAGCCGCGTGCTGCGGTTTGTGTCTCTGGCGGTCCTCCTGCTGGCCTTCAGCGCCTGCGATTGGAGGCTGGGATGCCGACAGGTCTGTGAAAACGTCTTATTTTATTCTTTATGTATTGTAAAAACGTTTTCTAATACTAATTTATTTTGCTTTAATATTTTGTGTATCTTCTTATTAATTGTAATAATTCCTAATTCGCCTAATTTTATTTTATTTCTCAATATTTTTATATACCGGGTTATTTATACCTCTATAAATATAAAAATATCTTTTAAAACTATGTCATGAATAAAATCTTACCGCCATTAATTTTTATTGATTATCAAATAAACTCTTTCCATCGTGTCACCACACTCTGACCCCATTCTCTGAGCCCCTCATTATCAGTACACTCTATCCCTAAATCGCCGCATTCTAACTCCATCCTCCGTAATTCCATTTCTAACGATCCCCTGTCGTCCTGCAGACAACGGTGTGGCGGATGGGGGTTCTGGCGGTGCTGCAAGTCAGCGTCCACGTGGTGCTCACTCTCAACAAGATTCCTCGCTACTCTGGATTCTTACCTGGAGATCCAAAGCAATTTTTACACTACACAGTAGCTCTTGTGCCTCTGATTCTCTTTTTGTTGTCATTCGCGTTATGTTTCCATTTTTTGTTGATGAATAACAGGGCGTTCAGCAGCATACCCATCGCCTTCGTGAAGACCATCACGCTCATGCTCGGCGATCTCGATTATGATGATACATTCGTGAGTGATAGCAATCCAGTCAGGTACGAAATCTTGGCAAACGTCTTGTTTCTCGTGTTCATTGTCTGCATAGGTGGCATCGTAATGAATTTCGCTATCGGGGGCCCCGCTGAAGAGCTTTATGAACTCAGGAAAGAAGAGCAGCTGAATCGAGCCATCGCTCATCTCCATATTCACCTCCTCATTGACGAGTGCGCGCCTAAACTACGTAGGAAATTTGCGTCTTCTCTTAAACTGTACGAACGCAAGAAGCATTTTTCAATGTATGTTTGTTCTGGGATGTTTCAAGAGGGAAATAAGAAAGCTTCTGAAGAGGCTCTTCAGCTGGCAAAGTTGACTGATGAGGTGGCCGAGTTGAGGAGCAATATCCAACAACTTCTCTCTCATCAGGGCAGTATCAAGGACAATCATTGATCATGCCGATTACCGAAACAACTATTTGATTACCGTGGTAACCAGTGTAGTATCCGTACATTGCGGCCCACTAACTTTCCTGCCCCTGCCTCTTAACATATAAACATTGATTGAGACGTAAAAATTTTAGTGCTAAGCTTACTTATGGACGTTAAACTCATTTTATGATTGATCATTGATTTTGATTTATTGATTTGTATTGATATTTAGTGTTATTGATATTGATATTAAGTTATTCGTGATCCCTTTTTGCTAACGAGAACACATTTGTTCATGACATTGTCCCCAGTCGCAAGTATTGTAGCAATTAGATAACATTGTTAGTTTTATAATTCATTGATATAAAAACTTAATGTTGTTTTACATAAAGTTTTCGTTCTAAAAAATTTCATAGAGTTTGAAAAAATAATATTCGTCATATTTGCATTGATTCTTCGTCCTATAACGAAAATGAGAAATTTTAATCAATCTTAATTTGTAAACGTATAATTAAGATGGCACAATATAAGGGTTTTCTGGTTCTGGTATACGTTTCATTTCTCCAACTGGCGGTCAGACACACATTTTCTATGCATGAAAAAATACCACAAAATCTAATATTAAATGTTATTCTGTCCGGATAAGCTTGTTCATTTTTGAAACGATATAATTTTGAGACGACACATTTACGCATCACATCTGGAATAACGGTTCACATCAGGAATCTCGCATACCATCTGTAATCACGCATCACTTCTGGAATCGCGCATCACATCTGGAATCACGCATCACATCTGGAATCACGCATCACATCTGGAATCCCGCATCACATCTGGAATAACGCATACCATCTGGAATCACGCATCACTTCTGGAATCACGCATCACATCTGGAATCACGCATCANGTATAGCTCAGATACACGTGAGAAATTCATACGTTTTAGTAAATCAAACTGAAGTTACGCCAAGACTTGTCACAAATAGTGTAACTAACGAATACAATTTACAATTGCAACATAATCGTATGACCATGAGATGAAAATATTTATACGATTACTGTATACATTTATCATAATACAATGTATACGAACTATTCTACTTACGAATTATAAATTTCGTACAATGTACGATTCTACTTACGAATTCTAAATTTGTAGGAGCATAATACATAATGTAATTTTCGACATCAATAGATTGCCCGAGGATATTAAGATGTGTATAAGAGACAGGGGAGACACAATGCAGGGGGAGGGAGAGTCTCGTTGGGAGACACAAGGCAGGGGGAGAGAGAGTCTCGTAGGGACACAATGCAGGGGGAGGGAGAGTCTCGTAGGAAGACAATGCAGGGGGAGGGAGAGTCTCGTAGGGAGACAATGCAGGGGGAGGGAGAGCTGTCTCTTATACACATCTAGATGTGTATAAGAGACAGGCGCTATAGGGTGCACGCATGTGAGTGCTGCTCCGAACTTTTTGCTCAGGATTGCCCTACAAAAGCAAGCGGTCATCGCATCAATGGCGTCTTTTCAACCAAGTTTCCCCCATATTGAAAGCCTGGAAGCCTTCTTTATGATTCCCGTACAAAAATCCCGGCTATTATTTAGGCCTTTACCTGTCTCTTATACACATCTAGATGTGTATAAGAGACAAGTGCTACTTCATAGTGCTAGTGCCTATTTAGCATGCCAACCGTAGTGTTCCATGCCGCACTATGGCTTGTAGTGCGTAGTGCTACGTCATAGTGCTAGTGCCTATTTAGCATGCCAACCGTAGTGTTCCATGTCGCACTACGGATTGTAGTGCGTAGTGCTACTTCGTAGTGCTAGTGCTTTTTTAGCATACGGGCCATTGTATGTAGGGGCTGTTGGGGCTCGTATCCAGGATACTTATCGTGTCGGGATATTGTATATAGGGGCTGTTGGGGCTCGTATCCAGGATACTTATCGTGTCGGGATATTGTATATAGGGGCTGTTGAGGCGCGTATCCAGGATACTTATCGTGTCGGGATGTTGTACATAGGGGCTGTTGAGGCGCGTATCCAGGATACTTCTAAAAATTAGAAATTAAAAGATCAAATGAATAATAAATACATACATATATATAAAAATCTGGAGACTATAAGAATTCTGATATATATTGTAAGAAATTACCACTTTCGGATGCATTGCTGCCTTCACTTGTTGCCCAGGTGACGAGGTAGTGCACCTCCAGATTAGCTTAGATTTGTACCGGCAGCCGACCTAGCAACATCTCTAATCTTACCTGCGACCTGTGTATTGGACTACGCATCTTCAGCGACCACAGGCTCCTTGCGAAGATTATTATTCTACTGTCTTATAATTTTGTGTGAATGTGGTTTCTAGCAGGATATATTTAACTATTTATTACTCGTGTATTATCTAGGTATGTGAATGTGATCTCTAGCAGGATTCATTTAGCTATTTAGTACTTGCGTATCAACTAGGTAGGATTTATCTTAGGCTCACCATAATTTACGTTTGTGATAACCTCCATTTGGGACGTTTAAGGTGGATAAATTAACTATGGTCATTTGCTTAGGGTCTAGTATAGGTAGATGGAGGTTTAGGGTTTCATTCCTCCTCTAACTTTTTCCCGTGCATTTGAACCTCCTACTGTCCTGCCTGCCCTTTCTGGTGAGCCTTCATCCTACTTTACACTCCTCTTTCGTTAGGGTTCCATTCCTTAACACGTTGACTACGAAGTGGTTCATATGCGTACCACGAAATATGTATTTCTCCAGGACGTAGTGATACATAATTAAGGTTACCTAAAATCGGCCAAATCCGAGAACAAAACAGGCCAAAAAAAAAGCCGATAACTCAATATATACTAGTTTATTTGTAGCTTCTGCTATAAAAATTCCATTTATTTTCTTTTTGTAGTATTTAAAATTTAATTAGGAAGCACCCCTATCATAAATTTTAGCCGGCCAACGCAATTAAAAAAACTAAATCACCGAATTTGTACGGAAAAAATGACAGTCTGGCAAAACTGTTTAAAAACGGTACAAAAATGAAATAATAGTACAAGATGAAGCAATCGTAGTCAACGAGTTAAGCCTAGCAGTTGTGACTACGGTTCCACATTGAATCCCGAATATATTTAGGTGTGTGCCATTACTCTTATACGATTTAATTTTGTTATATATTGCCCTAATAATTGTATTTATCAAGCTTTGTGGACGCCGGGTCTACAAATGCTATGATCTTGTTTAATTTCTTCATCAGTATAAACTTTGCGACGCCTGTTGCCTATCCCGACCCTTACCTGGATCTAATTATTCTGAAGATTACAAATTTTGATGTCCAGTTCATCAAAATTCTCGAGCCTGGTCTTGCCACCTAACTTACTCTTTGGATGAAGAACCATTATTTACCATGAATAAACTTCCGTCACTTCCCGTGGACGAAGAAGTACCAATTAAGGAGATCCAAACTTAAATTTCTTCTAATAAATGATTAAATAATCCTTGGGTTCTAAATCTTTACTTTACTTATTTTGTAGCAGATTAAAAACTTCCTTACAATTTCAAGTAAATTAAAAATTATCTTAGGGGTGTATTGTTTTCGTTATTCATTTCGCACTGCTGCTCAACGGGATCCAGGTGCGCAATACCTGGCGTCGCCTGCCAGACGTAGTCATCCTCAGTAGCCGACTGGCTTGTGTCGAGGGTGGTTGGTGCTGTTGTCGTTGTCTCAAGTTTGATTGAACAATCTGCAAATTGCTAGGTAACAGGACTCGGGGTGATTGCAGATTTAGAATGCAATGTTTTCTTCGTTTCTGCTACTGCATCACAAGGTGAGTAATTCAAATGTTTGTACAATGAACCGTGGAGTTTTGTAGTGGTTTCATGCAGAAGAAAGACTGAAATTTGACGGAAAACAGGGGAAACTTATTTAATCAAATATATTGCTAGGTGCAATGATCTTACATATTTACTTTTAATTTTATATCAGCAAATAATGTTTTCAATGGACTTGGTGCTTACACTTCCCATTATATTATAATGATTGTATTTATTTCTTATGATTATTATATACACTTTCCACTATATCATAAATTATGTAATTAATCATATAGTTATTATAGACTGGAATTGGCACATGTCCCAGCCGCTATAAAGCAATCATTGCGGACTGTAGCAATCAGTCACGCGAGTGTAGGTTGAGTGCCATGCAGTGGGATTGCCTATTGAGGAACCATCAATGATTGACCAAATCACCAAGCTGTACGTTGATTGGTGACCGCAATCAGCGGAGTAAAACAGTGGGATTTATCATCGGGGGTTATCAGAGGGATTTACTAGCGGTGCTTATCAGAGGGATTTATCAGCGGAGATTTGAATTGGTATTTGTATCGGGATTCATCACATGGATTTAGCAGAGGGATTATATAATTTTGCGAGATTACAGTGAGATTATTATATTATACTGTATATCCCACTGTATAATCCCGCATTATACAGCGGGATTATACAGTGGGATTTTTCTGCGGGACAATACAGTGGAGTTTTTCAGCGGGATTATCCAGTGGTATTTTTCAGCGACATTATACAGTGGAATTAACCACCGATTTTTGTCAGAGGATTTATCAGCGGGATTATATAATTTTATTTACCAGGCACAGTGGGATTTTCCAGCGAGATTATACAGTGGGATTAATCACCGGCTTTCGTCAGAGGGATTTATCGGCGGGATTGCACATTAGTATTTATCAGCGAAGTTTATCATAGAGATTTTTCATTGGCATTACTTACTAAAACATCGAACTTCTGACACAAGCTGTGAAATTAGTCATTTCAATTCGTTCGTTGTGGCCGAATTTAATACAGAAAGCGTTTTAATTCACTTATTATAAAGAAAATTTATTCATGAAGATTTGGAATTCACTTTTTCCCTGTAAATTTCATTCTTAAAGTTTTAGCTTCGATTTTCGTCAGTAAAAACATTTGTAAGGCAATTAAGTTCAGTTGTTCAGAGCAAAATTCTTCCATCAATCAAGGTATTATTGATCATAAATTTATCAACGAGAACGAGCTATAATTCATCAATTTCTCCCTTAGCAAAATCAATCGAGCTGACCCTAAATTCGTCGCTTACCATCACATCACCCATCACATCACCCATCACATCACCCATCACATCACCATCACATCACCCATTAGCGGTTCTACTATCAAACCTGAAAAAATAATAAACCAACGCGACAAATCAAACAAAGAATTTGATTTTAAATATTCGTTCTCTACTAATATTTATGGAGAAAACTTACAAAGTTATAACAATATAGATACTAGTGCACTGTTAATATACTTATATAAATAAAACTTTCTTTTCAGGAGTGTGCATATATTGAACTAATCTATTATGTATTTTTAATCTGCCAAGTAAAAAGTTTTAATTTACCGAGCTAAAACTCAATAAGATTTGTGGCCACAAATTTGACCAGCCGATATAAGTTATAACAATAAAATAGTAGTACACTAATAATAAACTTGTTT